AGTCAGAGCTACAGGCTACAGTGAGGCTAAAAACAGAGTTCATATGACGTTTTTCGAAACAACTTTTTATGTCGCGGCTGCAGCACACTTGGATTACTATTGATGAGCAGTATGGAGATACTTTGTGGATTCAATTTTGTGTTCTTGGATGTTAGTCTGGGGCGCCGTCTGCCATTAGGTGTGCTAGCCACTCCTCCCGCCGATCTCCGCAAGGGATGTGAGGACTCTAAAACTTCACCAGGGCCTCCATCGGCATATGGGTGAGTAGATAATGGCTGAATTTTCATTTTTGGGTGCACTATCCCTTTAAGGCCTACTACAATGCTAAATGAAAATTAGAATGTTCAAAATTAACCGTAATTCAATTCCACGTACCCTCACTTTTGGTCAAAGCCACAGGGAGTCGTTGGAGAGGGGCTGAAGACCAGCATAGGGCTCCAGAGCCACAGGTTGCCTACCCCTGGTGTGGAGTGTCAAATTGGATTTATGAACACTCCCTGGGTAAAATGTGATGTGGCATTGACCACAACAGCACAAACTTCATTAGCTTGCGGATAAAAGTAGGTAATGCTTTCATTCATCAAAATCCCTCTTTTTAGTAAAATATTAAATTATTTTGGTGACTCATCCTGCACCCCACATATACAGAAACATATTCAGTGAAATGTAATTTTAGGTGATCAAACCGGCATTAGATTTTGTTAGCTTGTTGGTAATTAGCTAACAGAGCAATAGGGTTTTTGTTTAAATATCACTTGCTTGAAAACATTATTTACTAACTTAACTGTAAATCATCCTCCAGTCTAATTTCAGCTGTTACAAAACAGAAGCTAACTGACACTTCACTGGGATTTTAATGCAAATACACAAATGCTAACAGCAATGTTAACATTAAACAGAAAAACTGTTAGCATGCTACCAAGCTAACTCATATACATTACATACTGTTAGCAAGCAAGCTAAAATCCTGGTATAAGCATGCTACCATGCTAACTGTCACTAGCTAGCCATCATCGGGTTAATATCCAATACTTGTGGTTTAAGCACCTTAACTGCCACAGAAGAAACCACAGTCATGTTTGTGAGATTTTAGCGATCTGAGATGAATTACAATTATATGTGGTGGGTTAGTAGTTAGTGACTTTCAACTGTCTGTGCAAAACATGAAGTTAAATTCAAATAAAAGGAAGATATTTAGTGGCCAATTCTCCCCAATATTAGATTCATGGCCATAGGCCTTTTCACAGTACACATTTTGATTTGTCATGGTAGGAAAAGCACAGGTGTTACTAATAACACTAATGATGGCTCTGCTCTGTTTAACTGCTCCAGTGAGAGTGACAGTGAGTAAGCAGAATACACGGATCCTGAAATCAAAGCAGCTGAATGGAGTTAAGCCAACATTATGTTTAGTATTTACACTTGTGCTGTTGCTGTAAATGTCAAAATGTCTTCTGTGAAAAAGGCCTATGTGTGGAGAACTCTCTGTAGCAGACAGACCATTATGTAGAGATAAAATTTACATAAGATAGAGCAACAGTTACATGAATAAACGTCAAGTGAAAAATATTAAATTTACTGAGTTCTGCTGCGATTTCATCTGAACAAGTAAGAATTTTTTGTAAGAATACAAAAGTTGTGTCTTCTTTTGTCACCCATTAACAATTTTTAGTTCCTGAACGGTTCTGTATGCAACCTTCAGAACATTAATATAGCAGCAAAACAGTATTTGTCATGTAAAGATACAGTGGAGTAATGACATCCTGAACAGAGAATTAAGTTATGCTATCTCCGTGTGTGTCTGAGCTTCTCTGTGGTTTGTTGTTGTAAGCAATTGTATCCCACTGGCAAGCTCATTGCCGTCGCTTTCGCTGCACTTATACGGTGGTTAGTGTTGATATCAGGACAGCGATGGTAAGGAAGTGTAGCACCCACCATTCCTTTACCCCCGGTTAACACCATTAGCTCTGTCAGCATTGTTTAGCTTTGTTTATGAAGTTAGTACTGTTAGCTGCTAGCCGCAGGCTCAGCCACCTCCATGTTGAGAACCGTGTACAGACAACTGAGCTGAATTTAGCATAGAGCACCTGTTAGTATTGTTTATCGTGTTTATGAGAAAAGTTTTCAAAAGTGTGCTGATGTTTATGAAAATGTTGACACCCATGGAAGTTCCGTTTCACATTTTTCATAACAATCAATAGCTTTTGCTGTATTTGTTCCTTGTTCCTAGCATGACACTGAAATCCAGAAAAAAAAGAATTTGTCATACATTTTTGGGAACTGTAGTGTCTGTATTTTCACGACTTAAACCTGTTGTTTTATTTGTAGGGCTGGACCAGACCCCAGGAAGTGCGGCAGGCGTTGAAACCAGTTTTCGTAGTTGCCAAACATTGGAACTCCTGAGTCCATCACATGATGCCATTTGGCCAAAAAAGACTTTTTCCCAGTGACTTACAGTGGGAAAGGGATGTCTGTAAATCAGTAGATCATTTTTTAGTGCCATAACCCCCGCAAAATGACTCATTCCACATTCATTCATTCACTAATTTTCCATAACCAATTTTCCTGTTGGGGGTCGCAGGAGGGCTGGAGTCTATCCCAGCTCATCTTTTTGGCTTCATGTGCCACTGGGCAACTGAACAGGGTCCCAGCTGGTCCAGCCACAGGGTCCAGATTTCTCTTTAGTCATTAGTTTAAGGTCCATACAGTTTAATCTATTTAATATGTTTAATATGTTTGCGGTCTCTGTTAAGTAGCTGTCCATTAGTCACTCACTCTACAGCAGGAAACAGCACTCCAAAATAAAAGCTCTGTCCTGGAAATCCATTGTACTTCAAAATAAAATGTGTTTGTGACAAACTAGACACATTTGCGAGTCACTTGTGGTCCATTCAGAATGGACCCATGACCCACTTTTGGACTGTGACCCACCAGTTGGGAACCACTGTCTTAATACATCCATGTGCTGAATGATATGGAGAAAATGATATCACAATATTTTTGGTAGACTACATCAATGTTGATATTGCAGTGACATGATAGAGCCGACTACTTGTGCTTTCATATTTAGAAATTAAGAATTTGGATAAACAATCTTTATTAGTAATGTGGTTAAAGGCAAATAATAGAGCAGCTAGAACAGTCACGCAGCCTTTAAATCCAGGAAAAGACAACACATTACAACCTGAGACGATATCTAGTCTCATATTAAAATATTGATATGATACAGATATATTACCCAGCCCTATATGTGATGGTTGAAGGTTGTTTTCTTTGTTTCCTTTAGTGTTTCTTTGTGTCCATGTTTGACGTTGCATTGAATCCGTCTTTTTGTAGGTTTATTGGTGAACGGTGTTTTATTTTTGTCTCACCATGTCAAAAATATTTCCCCATGATCTCTGTTTGAGAGCAGCATTTGTTTTCTGCTGTGTAATGAGCACAACAAGCCTCCTTTGTGGGTCTGTGGACATAAACTAATTAAAAATAGTCTCAAGTTGGTTGTAAATTTCCATTAACTCTGCAGAATATCTTCAGTTTCAGTTCACAGAGCCAGTACAATCTGACGGTGCATGCTCCTTCCTGCTGTCATTTGCAGCTTTAATTTTATGTTCAGTATGTTAGGATGAAGGGTGTTGCCCCTAAAGCCCCCTCAGATCGGCTTATAGGAGGCCGGGACCCTCCCCCAAATCCCCCTTCACCCCGACTGAGACAGAAAGGGTGGAGAGGTTCAGCTCACGTTCCTCTTCCTCACCCAGTCAAGATTTATCCTAACAAGTGATGTGTTTTTCCTCTTCACAGAGCGATAACGTTGAGTTTGCAAATAATAACCAGCATGGAAGCTGTTTACATCAGCGTAGCTTCACAGACACACAAGAGACGAACCTCAATATTTCTTCTTAAGAGAAAGCTGCACCGTCAGAGACCCACAAAAACAACCGACTGGAGCTTTCGACGTGGGCAGTGTGGTGCTGCTGCAAACCATAATAATGGTGGTGAAGCAATTAATCCATTAGTCAATCCACAGAAAATTAATCTGCATCTATTCTGATGATGATGGGTTTTTAGTACAGACTGCTTCTCTTTCTCGCATATGATGGTAAATTAAATTTGTTTTTTTGGGGATGATGGTTGAATAAAACAAGCTGTGGGGAATTAAAATAAGGATTTAAAAAAATATTTTCTGACATTTTAAAGGCAAAATAAAAGATATATTAAGTGAGAATTATTACGATTGTTTGCTGCAGCCCTGATTCTGATTTATTTACTGATCATTTAAGCAACTAATACAGAAATAATTGTGGTTTATGGCTCTTAATAAAATGTGATATTTTTCTCCCTTTTAATACATTTTAATTAAATATGTGTGTTAAAGACATCTTTTCATTTGTCTTTTCTAATTATCTTATAGTCCAAATCAAAGCCAGTTTTAGTTTGTAGGTAATAAAAACAGTGTTGTTTTGATACTTCACATGATCAATAAATTTAAATATATATATTATTATTGTCCATGACGATGCAAAACTGCTGATGATCATCCTGTTTAAAACTAACTTATGATGGTGATGATAGATTGTTATTCAGTGAGTGTGTGTGTATGTGTGTGTGTCAGACACTGCAGTGTGTGTCTGCTGATTTAAGTGCACTGCGCGCCTCCCACTCACTGCCAGCCTGTGCATCCACTTTGCAGAATTTAACCTGAACAGTTCATTAAAAACAGACTGCGTTCCTGCTGCTGCTGCTGCTTGACTCCCTGATTCATCCTAATACTATCATTAATGCTGCAACACATCCACGTCCTCATACGGAGTGAAAACACGCCTGTGTCGCTCAGCAGTGAGTTGACACTGATGTTATCTTCCTGTGTGGTGTTTTTCAAAGTCTCCAAAGATTCCTCTGGTGTGTGTTTCTGCAGGCTCGCGTGTTGTTTGTTGTAAAATGTGTGAAACGGTTGCTGGAGGATGAAATAAATAAAAAAAGATGGTGAATATGAATTGACTCACCAGTCAGTGTGATGTGGAGCAGGCCCGGCATGTCTGCTGCTGCTGCTGCTGCTGCTGCAGTGCTTCCCCTCCTCCTCCTCCGCTCTGAATGGACAGATCACACAGATTTGAGCTGCAGATGTGAAGTGGAGGCCGTCAGGAAAACGCCGTGCTCATGGCCGTGCTGTCCTCTCTGCTGTGTGCGGGCTCACTCACTCACTGACTGTCTGCGGTGTCCGCACAGACAGACAGGTAGACAGGCAGGCAGACAGACAGGCTGTGCGTGCGGGCAGAGCTGCGGGCAGACCAGGATCTGATCTGCTGCACCACCGACGCTGGAAATAACTGCCCGTCAGCTGCCTGTAGTTCCGCACGGTGACCGCTGGGTGTCGCTGCCGCTGCCTGACTCCGCTCTGGCTCACTGATGCGTTCAGGTGCTCCTCGGAAATTCTTGATTGTATGTATTCTTCTGTGCTTTTAACACAAAAATTACAAAATCAAATCACATAACAAGGAAGGGAAGAACTGAAATGATTGAAAAATAAGATTGTCAACAGCAAAATGGATATATTAAAGATAATATACAAGATATCATTAAAATAAAGGATACTATATACTATACTATATATCATTCAGCCTGTCACAGTTTTTTAGGTTTGAGAAATGTTTGCCTAATAGCATTTCAAATTTTAAGTATTTGTACTTTAAAATAAAAGACAAAAACATATGCAGTTTCATCGCAAAGTGGAAAGCATTGATCATAAACTATAAATGACAATCAAATAACAAGTAAGCACAAACTTCAGTAATAAATGTAATAATATAAAACCAAAATTAAATTAAATTAAATTAAAATAAAATAAAATAAACAAAATAAATTACATTAAATTACATTAAATAAGATATACAGTACAGGCCAAAGGTTTGGACACACCTTCTCATTCAATGCGTTTTCTTTATTTTCATGACTATTTACATTGTAGATTCTCACTGAAGGCATCAAAACTATGAATGAACATGTGGAGTTATGTACTTAACAAAAAAAAGTGAAATAACTGAAAACATGTTTTATATTCTAGTTTCTTCAAAATAGCCACCCTTTGCTCTGATTACTGCTTTGCACACTCTTGGCATTCTCTCCATGAGCTTCAAGAGGTAGTCACCTGAAATGGTTTTCCAACAGTCTTGAAGGAGTTCCCAGAGGTGTTTAGCACTTGTTGGCCCCTTTGCCTTCACTCTGCGGTCCAGCTCACCCCAAACCATCTCGATTGGGTTCAGGTCCGGTGACTGTGGAGGCCAGGTCATCTGCCGCAGCACTCCATCACTCTCCTTCTTGGTCAAATAGCCCTTACACAGCCTGGAGGTGTGTTTGGGGTCATTGTCCTGTTGAAAAATAAATGATCGTCCAACTAAACGCAAACCGGATGGGATGGCATGTCGCTGCAGGATGCTGTGGTAGCCATGCTGGTTCAGTGTGCCTTCAATTTTGAATAAATCCCCAACAGTGTCACCAGCAAAACACCCCCACACCATCACACCTCCTCCTCCATGCTTCACAGTGGGAACCAGGCATGTGGAATCCATCCGTTCACCTTTTCTGCGTCTCACAAAGACACGGCGGTTGGAACCAAAGATCTCAAATTTGGACTCATCAGACCAAAGCACAGATTTCCACTGGTCTAATGTCCATTCCTTGTGTTTCTTGGCCCAAACAAATCTCTTCTGCTTGTTGCCTCTCCTTAGCAGTGGTTTCCTAGCAGCTATTTGACCATGAAGGCCTGATTGGCGCAGTCTCCTCTTAACAGTTGTTCTAGAGATGGGTCTGCTGCTAGAACTCTGTGTGGCATTCATCTGGTCTCTGATCTGAGCTGCTGTTAACTTGCGATTTCTGAGGCTGGTGACTCGGATGAACTTATCCTCAGAAGCAGAGGTGACTCTTGGTCTTCCTTTCCTGGGTCGGTCCTCATGTGTGCCAGTTTCGTTGTAGCGCTTGATGGTTTTTGCGACTCCACTTGGGGACACATTTAAAGTTTTTGCAATTTTCCGGACTGACTGACCTTCATTTCTTAAAGTAATGATGGCCACTCGTTTTTCTTTAGTTAGCTGATTGGTTCTTGCCATAATATGAATTTTAACAGTTGTCCAATAGGGCTGTCGGCTGTGTATTAACCTGACTTCTGCACAACACAACTGATGGTCCCAACCCCATTGATAAAGCAAGAAATTCCACTAATTAACCCTGATAAGGCACACCTGTGAAGTGGAAACCATTTCAGGTGACTACCTCTTGAAGCTCATGGAGAGAATGCCAAGAGTGTGCAAAGCAGTAATCAGAGCAAAGGGTGGCTATTTTGAAGAAACTAGAATATAAAACATGTTTTCAGTTATTTCACCTTTTTTTGTTAAGTACATAACTCCACATGTGTTCATTCATAGTTTTGATGCCTTCAGTGAGAATCTACAATGTAAATAGTAATGAAAATAAAGAAAACGCATTGAATGAGAAGGTGTGTCCAAACTTTTGGCCTGTACTGTATAAGAAGGGTACAATTTCTTTAAGTATTTTGTTTTATGAAAATATAATGTAGCTAAGATCATGAGCAAATTAATTTTATATTGTTCATATTTGGAGAAATTTGGATTATTGACTATTATTAACAAATCAGGTTTTTTGAGTGAAATGTTCTTGTCCAGATGTCCTTAAGAGATCCAAATGAAAATCAGTCCAGAGGATTGTCAAGTACACGTTGAAGGTGTGTTCTGAAGTGCTCTAATGTTTCTACCATCTCGTTAGAGAAGGTGCCTTCGACAGTCATATCAGGATTCTATCTATAAATTCTGCGACTTTAAATTTGTACTCCACTAAATCTCAGAGGGAGATGCACTTTCACTTCACTACATTTATTTGATAACTTCAGTTACTTTGCAGGTTCAGATTAATGAAACAAAGTATAATTGACAAATTAATTATTTAACATTAAGGATTCAGATAAAACTATATTGATCCCCAGAGAGTAAATTCACCCAGCAGTGTATAAAGTAATTAAAATGAGCTCAGCCTTTACCAGTTGCAACATTAAAGTGATAAACATATAAATGCGTCAAGAATTATTGTCAATGTATATTATTCTGAAGTGAAGTTTTCTACAATAAGGGCTTTTACTTTTTGTACTTTAAGTATATTTTAATACGACTATATACTTTTGTAGACTTGAGTAAAATTTTAAATGCAGATTTTTACTTGTAATCGAGTATTTCTACACCAATTGTTACTTTGCTGAGGCAAAAGATACCCCCTTAACCTTTGCATGGATTTTCAGGGATTTTCTTATATTCAAACATTCTTCCAAAATACATTAAAGTTATTGATTAAAGTATTCAGGTGCAGTAAATCCACCATGTAAATAAATATTCTGTTGGATTCCTGTTATCAGTTACTGCATTTGAATTAGTGATGATTTAAATGTCAAAGCTGCTGTGGGGATCGTTTTTAATATTTTATAAAATACTGTGGGGTTTAATCTATAAAAAAATAAAACTAAAATGCATGTACAAAATTAAAAAAATTACACGGCTGGATGGAAATGCCAAAATACATATCATGAATGAGATGCAGACCACAAAAAAAAAAAAAAAGGACAAAAGACATGTTTAACAAATACAAGTTTATTATCAAAACACACCTACAATCCAACTTTTGTTTTAAACACTGTTTTTTTTTTTTAACAAATTCCATCCAAATCTGCACTTTTATCAAGTTGTGGAGATTTAAATTCCCGCGACGTTCACTTCACATGAACGCAAACCTCCGAACACGCCAAGCAGAAAGAGCTTTAAATGCAAAAATCTAGAGTAAGTGAATTTGTAAAATGTCCATCTTAACATCAGCTCATAACAGAGAGGGATCTAACAAATTTATGTGAGACAATAAATCCTGTTTCTTGGACAGCACGGACATAAACATGTACATCTATTTACAATCAGCCCCACCTGAGGGCGGATAGAGACAGGAATAGGCGGAGAACACAGGAGGAACAGCAGAGTGGAACGACCTGAACACCTCAAGAGCTAGATTCTGTTATTTATCTGATTTTTATGCAGTTAAATAACTTTCACTGAGGTTATTCTACAAAGCGTTTGCTCTTATTCTGGAACCAAACTCTTCATGTCGTGTGGTGACGTAGCGCAAGAACATACATCACTGTAAAACCTTCACTTCCAGTCACCAGATACTCAAACAATCCCGTTGCGCGATCAGTGGAACTTTCACCACTTTGTGAAGTACACATATCCACCTCTTTTTCACTGCTACTTTAAGATTCAAATTAAGTCAACTCAACCTTCGACTGCCTGCTTCCTCCACCAAAACTATCCCATACAAAAGAGTCCTTCAGTTGAGATCTAAAGATGGGAGTCCAGACATGATGGAAACCCAAGTACTTTTTTCCCCATGACCCATTTTGGGCTGTGAAATCGAGTTCATGAAGCACTATAATAAGGAGAGGAGGAGGAACGGGTGCTGAAGGCTCTCAGAACTGCTGCAGGATCAGTTTCTTCTTCCCGTCATGGCTGAACTTGTTGGAGCGGAAGAGGTCGCTGTCGTAGAAGGACGTCAGGTTGTGGATGTTGATCTGTCTCGCCTGGAGGAGGAAGAAAAAGAACAGAGGGAAGCAGAAAAGAATGAATACAATGACACTAAGAATTTTCCTTGTTGACCAATAGTCATCATTACGATATTAATTGAATTATTAAATGATATATTTTGGTGGTTTGAGTTGAAGGTGTGAGAAAGAATAGTATCAGTAACATTGTTAACACTGTGCTACATTACAGAGAAATACAAACCGTACTAATGAACCTTCATTAATATAGGCCTATATTTTATCTCCAAGTGCACGTCACACACTGAGCGAGCCGCCTGTTAATGACACTGTGGGCTAATGGGCATGTAGCTACTTCCATGTTTCAGATGATACGTCATGTTTGTAGTCGACCAATGAAGATGAGTTTACATATCACCTTGGGTTCGTCCTTCACCTTCTCAAAATGATCCCACACTTTGGATTTCCTGCCCGACATGTTATTAACTAGCCTGTGGAATAACAGCAGGTACCAGCCCTGGAAATTAGGTGCCAGACACATGCTGCGTCTTTAACCGCCTGGAAAACACAAGGTCAGGTGCTGCTATTGTGCCTTTTCTGTGCCAGCTTTTAAGAGCGTGGCGGCAGGTTGCGTCTGAGGTTGCTAAGCAAGCTTATAAGTGTGTAGGCCTATCGTCCATGGGACACATGTAAAGCTCTGGGTAGCCCTGCACTAACATGATCAACTTTTCTGTGTTTATCAGACGGAATATTTTCAGA